AGTCGTCTAGCAGTTTTTGTCCAAGGAGCCTTTGGTTCTTGTGGACCCTCTGATCCGAATGCTGCGTTCGGACCTTCTGTCTACCGAGGATTGAGCTCAGGCAATCCTTGGTTATCCAGCGGAGCAGCTAGTGCTACTAGGTGCATCTTACCTGGCATTCGTTGCATCCAGGCTGACTTCTTTTCCAGCTTTCGTTCCGGTTAGTATTTTTCATTTCTTTTTATATTTTGATTGTTTTATTCGAAACTTTGACTCTTTTTTCTATTATGTACATACATATATGTATATATACACATATATATATGTATATATATTTATATTAGCGAGTCGAGTTGGGTTGTTAGGTTTCTCCTACGATAGAGGTTATGTATACCGATGCCTTTGGATGGATAAATCATGAGATTCTTCTGGCGACGGAGGATGAGGACAAACTATTTGTACCAGAGACAGTTGAGTCGATATGTTTATTCCATACATGTATATTTTTTCTTTTCATATATCTCACATTTTTATGACTATCCTTGTTTTTTTTTGAACAGGTTTCGCGGGGGACTGTGATCGGCATGGTGAGGACTATACGTGGCTTTGTCATGCCGTGATCATCGGATGGTTGCGGTAAGTGTTTTTTGTGTATTAATCTTTTTTATGGGTTTTGCAGGATGTACAGCAGCCTTTTGGGAGCCATCGAGCACCTTGAATCCCATTTCTTTATTTTTCTTATGGAAAGGTATATATATTTATACATTTTTTGTACATATGACACCTTTTTTTTGTATATATCGTACTCTATTTTTATTTCCATGAGTTTTTTATTTATATTTTTTTTGTTTATAAAATAAAGCGAGAAATAATTTCTGAGAAAAAAAATTTCAAGGGAGGGAAACGGTTCTCGACTCAACCCCCCTCCCCCCCCCCCCCCGGAAAAAAATAATAAATTAGGAGACAAAAAAAGGAAATAAAAAAGAGACAAAAAAACAAAGGGAAAGAAAAGAAAGGAAAGAAAACGCAAAAGGAAAGAAAAGGATTTTAGAAAAAAGAAAAAATTAAAACAAAGGAAAATAAAATAAAAAAGGAAAGAATAATAAAAAAAGGCAAGCGTATGGAATAGTCATAAGATCTCGTTGAAATTCTTGTTATTCTGTAGTCTTAAACACGGAAATAACCCAAAAAATCATGTCGTGACAGAATAGGTCGCACGCAACTGCAAGGGTTGCGCATGAATGTTGCGCGCAACTCATAAGATGCGCACTCCTCCTGCGTGTGAACTTTCCTTTGGGAAAAAATTGTCAAATTTTTTTCGTTTTGGTCTATTTAAGCGCGGTTTCGTATATGCTTTTGAACATCTCACATTCATTCGTCAATACAAAGAAAATTATTATTCTCTTGTTTTTCTACACTTTTTTTTAACAATGGTGAAAATTTTGGAGCAACATTTAAAATAATGGGTCACTTCCCTTTGTAATGAAGATAAACTAGCTTTTAAAATATGCCGCCTTGAACCCCTATTGAGATATATGCAAATCAATATAAATTTTGATTTTCTCTATACTAATATTGGTAAGTCCGTAGCTACGAATTTTTCCGGTAAAGTGAGTCATGTAGGAGGAGCAAACTTTTCTGCGTCAAAGTACTTATTCCCCATTGTAGAACGAAGAACAAGCTTCTCTAACAAGTTCTCTTTTATATGGATAATTCATCCATCTTTTGTTGCAAAGCCAAAGCTCCGGCATTTTTCCTCTTAGTTTTTTTCGAGTTTCTTGATTTTTCTCTCTGTGGCATCTTGAGTCTTTTCCTCTCTCAAGCAAACAATCTCTTCTTGGAGTTGTTCTATGGCGGACATCGTTGTTAGACTAGAGTGAGTGGTCGAAGGGAAATGATTTGAAAGAGGTGAATTGTTTGATGGTAAATGTAGAATGTGAGCGCCCGGGAATCTTCGTGCCTAAGCTTGGAAACCAACCCTAAAGAAGTACGAAGAGTTAAGAAACCAATAAGCTTGTTTATTTTTTAGAAAGAAGAAGAAAAGAAAAAAAAAACACAAAATACATTCGAAGGGATAACATCACCTTTAAACAACTCATTAATAATGATATTGTTTGCATGAACCAATTGTCTTTGAAAAATCAAAGTGGTCTCGTAGCAGAAGGCGTGCGTAAGAAACTAAGTTGCGCACGGATAGCATGCGCAGCCCTAGTTCTTGCGCTGGGTGTGATCGCGCAACTCAGTGAGTTGCACGTGCCACCTATTTGTGCAATTTTTTTCTTTTGTCGAACGGTTTTTTTTCTATATACATGTATATATACATATTATATATATATACATATATGTATATGTATAAATATACATATATATATATACATATGTATATGTATATATATACATATATATATATATACAAATATATATATATAGTCATGTAAGCATACCATAAAGCCATTAATCCACATGATGCCTTTCTAAGGTCGAAGATTGGGTGTCCAAAGGTACCATATCTTAAGAAACGATGCACAAATCCATCACTTAACATGTTGACTCGTGACATAGTCCTCCCAACATTTTGTTAGCGATATGGGTGGGATGATTGTTCTTAATTTTGTGATAGAAGCCCAGTGTTGGCAACCCCTAGTCAATGAGCCAATCCCCAAAGGTTATAATTTGCTATGATTATGCATAATGCAATGTTACTTGTTTGGTTTTTACTTTTGTAAAAAAGGAAGATATTATGCGTTCAAGTCTTGCTCTCTAACTAGAGATTATTCAAGTTGATTCTCGTTACAACCCATAGGCAAACTAGTGTTGGAAACCTTGGACCATAACTAAAAACTAATCTTGTAACCTCTAAGTCCCCAGTGGAGTCGCCAATGTAAGGAGGGAGTGCCCATCGTAGGGGATCCTTCTCCTTTATACCCATGACCCTTTAAAAGCCTAGGACTTTACATTTGTTAGGTTGTTTTAGGACTTTAATTCCTGACTGTTTGGGGGACCTTGAATTAGAGTTGATCCTATATATCATTACGCTTTTTTGTAAGAAATTAGTAAGGAGTCGCCAATGAGTTTTAGGAAAATTCATAAATCTCGTTCATATCTTTCTCCCAAGTAGAGTTCAAAGGATATTTAGCAAGACTCATAAGTTTACCCACGCCTAAATTGGTTTACTTGTACCAGACATGAGTTCGAGAGCGAGGGTACTAAAATAATGTTCCCTTTAGGGTGGAATCGCTATTCTAGCCCTAGTGCGGCCTCTACTAGCTCTTTCCATTTCACAATATCATCACCAAACAATATATGCAACATAATACCTAAAACTAAGTTAGTTGGTTTTATTTACAAGCATTAATCACTTAGGAATTACATACATTGCAAAGTCATTATTCTTTATTTAATTCAAATTCGTGAAAAGGAACAATAAATACACAAGATTCGCCTTGGCTTAGGTGATAAAACAACAATTAATTATTTCAATCTTAATCTTTGATTAACGCAAGAATGTTCTATGAAATAAATAAATTAAAAGTTTATTTAAAGTGATCAAACAATAGTAATTAATTGATTTAAATTATTTAAACAACAAAAAGAAAGGTGATTTATCTAAGTGCTCGGGAAACTAACCACATTTCTTTGCTAGATTTTTGTTTAGAACCCTTATGGACTCGTTCTTGTTCGGGAACCTCCACCACAAGGACAAGTAATAAGAGGGGTGAGTGCTTAGGACAACATGATTGATAGTACACAAGTTCACAAAGTTCCTGCTAGCTTTTTTGGATTAATTTCTTTGTGTTTAAGCTTCATATTAAGCCCCAATTTACAAGGAATGGATGCGTTTTGGGTTTTGAGCATTATGTCGCAACAGGTGGCGCGTGCATCACAGAGGGTCGCGCGCTTGCTGCGTGCAAGTAATTTGGATGCCCTGCCAGGGGCAACCTAACTAATGTTCATGAGCGCGGTATTATGGTAAGATTCGATTAAGTATTTTCTTGAAATTTTGAATCTCTCGTGAGCGCATCACTGGAGGTTGCGCTAGATGCCACGTGCAACCTTGTGAGTTTCGCGCGCCAGACTAGCCCAACTCGTTGAGTTGCACGCGGATTTTCCTGCGGCAGCTTTGGTTTTTAACCTAGGCGCCTCTAAATCCGTCAAAATTAGGTTTTTACTCCGGGTTTAGGCCTAATTATTGACCGAGCTTAATTAATTGGACTTTAGTTCATTTTGTCTCGTGTTAGGCTAGTCGTTTTATATTTTTATGACTTAATCAGCAGTCCATAAGTATTCCTCACGTTGATCCAACACGAAGATGGTTCTATTTATCGTCATAACACTTCTGGTCGGGAAAGGAGGCCAAAAGTAGATGTCTACACGTCTATACTTTTGAACATTTAGGAAAAAAAATTGAACACTTATATAAAAATTGAACATTTAGTATAAAAAAAAAAACATGTCACAAAAATGTACATAATCATCCAATTATATACGTTCATTTTCTATAAAGATATGTTCATTTAATATGCAGTAAATGTTCAGTTTATATTACAAAACTATTTTCACTATAAAACTATTGAATTTTTACGAGTTAGAATTGTTCATATTTTCTTATGAAATGTTTAAATTTTGCAATTGTTCATATTTTTTTACTAAATGCTCAAAAGTATTGACGTGTTTCATTGCAATTGTTCAGATTTTTTACTAAAAAAATATTCAAAAGTATAAGCGTGCACCTTATAATTTGATTACTCCATATTAATATATCGGTAATCTCAAGTTTAATGGAGTCACTAGTAGAAAAATGTAAAAGGGCACTGGTTCAAAACCCCCCTATAGCACTGGTGTTCATTTGAGGGATGGCAATAAGTGAAAATTTTTGCCACCGGTTCGGTGTAGTACCGGTGGCAATAACACAACTATTGGCACCGGTTTGGTTCAGAACCGGTGCCAAAAATGCCCCAAAAAAATAAATTTTTTTTTTTTGCATTTTTTTTGACTTAAATTGATATATAAACACTTACATATATGTAAACTTATAATTTCCATTAATATAAAGCTGTAACATGAGTACATGACAATTTTAATTCAAAAAAAAAAAATATATTACAGAATATAATAATATTACAACAGTAGCGTAGAGCAGATTAGCTGCAGCGAGAGTAGAACAGCAGTGGCGTGGAGCATAGAAGCAGCAACGTAGACCTGAACAGCTCCATTTTGAGGAGTGCACGTATGATCAGTGAACAACGTCTTGATATCAGGGTTTGGTCTGGGATTCTAACAAAGCGGATGCTACCAATTTAAGCTGAACAAATCAGAGAGTTAAAAAATCTGTAAACATTATATATACCCAATCTTATTTGATACAACAAATGCAATAATACATAACAATCAGATACGAAATAGATCAAGTCTTTTTAAGAATATACATGACAATTAGATGCGCCTATTGAATACTTCAAGCCTAGAGCAAAAAAACACGCTCTGCCCTAATTCCCTAGTGCCTAGACGCGCCTTAGGTGTGCTTTTCAAGACACTGATCCTTCTGATTTTTAATTTTCTTCTACAGTTATGTGGTTCAAGATGATTGACGTGTCATGTAAGGAAAACTAAATTAAAAATCAAAGTAACATTGTTTATTAGTATAATATGCTTTTCCAATTCACGGTTTAGGGGGGTGACTGGGTGAGTGAGAGCAACTTAGATAACACTATCACCATTTATAAGATATTGGACTTATCTGAAGTTTGAAGAGACTGAGACATAATAAGTCACTCTTGCCGTGTATAACAAAATTTATGAACATATCATGAACATAAAACCATTCAACCAACAAACAAACTAACAGCAGGGTCTTTTACCTTTGATAAAACATTTGAAATCAGGAGCAAACAAGATTTCCTGCTCCCAACTAACATGACAAGAACTAAATTATTTCCACATAAGCCAGAAACACTAATTTGCCAAATTATTACTACAGCTGTTGTGACCACTTCACTTTGGGAGTTGAGGTCTTGCACGATAGATCTCCCCGGGTGCATGCAATATTTTCTATTCCCAACTGGCATGGTACAACCGTACAAATTAAAAGGATACAAGGATCCATCCTTAAATTATTACCATCACCAGGGATCAATAGCTCGATAAACTACCGGAGAATACCCCAATATTCACTAACTAATTTTCCAAAAAGACAAAAGACACAAGTCAAGGGCACAAAAAAGTCTATCAGTTGTCCACATGTACTATATCCTATAAAGCATTAAAGACGAACGATTGTGGGGTTTGTAAAGTATACCTGAAGTTAGTTAGAGTTAAAAGCTGTGTAATTTCCTTGTAAAGCTCCCTCTTCGTTGAATGTTGAAAATACTTTCAAATCACCACACAAGTATCTCAACCGCCTTGGACTTGTCTTGCCTAACAAATTCAAACAAACACCACAATTTTAATACCAATTTCACTCCCCTCATATGCAAATATTCAACAAGTACACCAGCATACTATAACCCGATTCACATGTTCCTAAAGAGCTTTATTTCTCTGCAGCTTTCAAGCACAAGAACTAGTACAATCGCTATATATTCAGAACAAAAGAAGCATTCAACACCTGCAACTTCACTCAAGCAACACCACATTACAAGCTGCAAACATCATCATCTGTTTCATCACAAATGTACTCCCCATACACCTACCACAAATCACACAACGAGGTTCCCTCGGTTCTGCTTCTCTTTGATCTCAACATCTTACTTTCACTTCATCTATAATAATATCAATCAGATTGTGATCAAATAATCACAAAATTCATCTAAACTACTCCACAAATTACCAACAATTTAATCTTAACAGTGTTTTGGGGTCAAATTACAAGAAAATTCATTAAAATTACTCCTGGAATCACCAGAATTCATCTAATATACAGTACTCAGTTTTATGAACATTCATCTAAATTACTCTACACATTGCCAGAAATTTATCTAATTTACTCATTTTTTACGTCAAATTTCCATAATATTTGTCGAAATTACTCTACAAATTGTAATTATCAATAAACCACTGGTTTTATCAATGGAGATTAATTAAATTACAGGAAAAATTCACAAAACAGGAAAAAATGATTCTTATGAGAAACATGAATAATGCATAATAAATTGTTTACCTGAATCGTCATCATCATCATTTCTAATATTAGGGTTTGTACATTCCGATTGATGATTCGTCAAATTCATAGCTGAAAATTCGAATCAAGAGTTCTTTCACTTCCCATTCATTCGAATTCAATTCCCATAAATACAAATTACAATAATTATCAGGACAAGAGGGACAAAATCAAATTCAAAATCAAACATCACATACAAATTCAAACTCAAAAACAACGACCAAATCATAAAATCCAAAATCAAAACCCAAAAACTCAACAAAATCGAAACCCTAACCTAAATTATACAAAATTAACAAAACAAAGGAGGGTTAAACCTTGTGAGGAGCAGCGTCGCCATTAGAGATCTAGGCATCGTTCTCCCAGTTTTTTAAGGGCTTACGCCATTAGTGACGACTGCGGTGGTGGTGGCAGAAAGCTAGGAGGAAGAGAGAGGAGGGTTGCGTTAGTGGTGACTGCGGTGGGAAGCTAGGATGGAGAGAGAGGAGGGTTGCGCTGGTGGTGGCTGGGGTGGAGCAAGAAGAGAGAGGAGACGGAGAGTTCGAGAGGAGAGGAGAGAGAGCGTGTGAGTTAGAGATAGAGAGGGAAGAGTGAGGAGAGAGAAATAATTTTAGGGAATATTGGGAAAAGGCCACCGGTTAACCGGTGGCCTATTAAACCTGTTTTTTTTTTTTTTTGTGGTCTAGGCTTGCATTTTTGGCATCGATTTTTAATAATCAGTGCGCATTTGTCGGTGCCCTTTTACATTTTTCTACTAGTGAGTAGCCCAATAGCTCATGTACATGGTTTTAGAAAAAAGTAGCCCGTGTACAACATTATAACTACAAGCCCCATTCTCGTGTTAAAAGAAGCTTCAAGTAAAAGAACCCATGTTATCGGTATTGTCAAGTTTAATGAAGTAGCCTTGTGTTATGAAATATTGTATGGATATCCATTATCCTCATTTATCGTTTCGGAATGTTCTAGAACTAGGGTATATTTTTATCTAAGCAAACTCTAGTTATATTGTATGTATATATATATATCCCCACTCTATGGAATTATATAGACTGATCTATTCTCTCTATTTTCTCCTCGTTCTCTTTAATTTTATAACACGTTATCAGCACCAAAGCTCTAAACCATTGATTAAATTAGAATCCAATCTGAAGAATTTTTTTTTTCTTTAACCACATGATTGACGAAGCCTCGATGGGCTTGATCTCGTGCTAATAATGGGGGCTCGTTTACATAAATCAGCATATTATGCAATTAATACAATCTTTAGAAGCTTTTAGAATTTGCATCATCATTGATCAATTTTTGCTAGTGCCAAGTGTCGACCATAAACCCTAGTTTTGTCAGCTAATCATTAATTAAATAAAGAAGCCCACTTGCTTTGATATTGTTTTTGGTGGGATTCATATTTATTTATCCTAAGGTTTGAGAAAATTTTATTTATTTATTTGAATAAAGAACATGGTGACTGCATTTATCTCAATGAAGTAGTGTCACAATTGAATATTGAATCTGTCACCAATTATAAAGGAAAATATGTATTTCCTACTTGTATTGTACAACTAGCGTGTAATATTCTCGCGACCGATGCTTTTGTTAGCTAGCTGATTTTTGGTGGACATTGTGTCATCAAACTCGTTAAAATCTTTGTTATAGGCGCCCTACATCAATTGAGAACGAAGGCACAATGCTATGTTAAACGTGCTCAAAATTAGGGAAGTACTCCACTCAGAGTTATGTTTGGCTTTAATTCTAACTTGTCTAGTTAATTGTCTACCTAATATACTATATTTATTATTATGTGCCCCTCTACTTTGCATAATAATTTGTTATTACGAAATTTTGTCCTGCTATGTGGGCTTGGGTGAGTTAGATTTTGTGAACTAGTGAGTGTTTTGAGATGGAAAACTTTCACGACTCATTGTTTTCTAACCTAATGTGCTAGTTTAATGGTATAGTTGCATGTTTTATTACTTCGGCTAATTTGTTATCCCATCGATTCATTGTGTTTTATTATGGACTTTGTTATATGTATTATCCTTCATAGTACATATTAGGGATATTATTCTAATATTTGGAGTATGATCTAAGTTTTATCTTATTTATTTCCATATTAGTTTATAAGGGTGATTAGTTATTATTGGTGAACTTAGCCTTTTATTAAACTTGAAATGTATATACTTGTTAGAGGTGTAACATTTATTTTTCTTGATACAGATAACACCTATTATACCTCTAGTTTGATAATAGAAGTGAAAAGCTCGGTTCAATAAAATACCAGTAAGCAAGGTTATACAAAGGTAATTTTGTAATCCACATGTGATAAATAAAAAAAAAAAAAAAAAAAAAAAAAAAAAAAAGGAAGTTTGAACCTCTATTTTTTGAATACTTGTGATTATTTATATGGGGTAGTAAATCTGTTTTAGTGATTTATACATAATATATGTTATTTATCCAAGATGTTAGTTATGATTTTCTTATTCACATGTCATATACATATTATGAATATACATATTGTGATGCATAGTGTTTCTTTTAACTATGAAGAGCATAATGCATAGAAGTTATAAAACTATGATTGGTGTGTACATGCCATATATGCACTACATAAGTTTATATATGACCTTGATATAGTGAATTCTGTGAAATATCTAAGTATGTTTTTCTTTATTTTGCTGACATGGCATGTATGTTAACAACCTTATAAGTTGATATTATCATGAAATGTACTGACATGATTTCTATATTGAAAAAGTTATTGATGTGTGATTAAAATAGATTAGATTTGATATTATATGCCTATATGAATTTGGATTATGGGAATGATGTGTAAATTGAACATAGAATTCTCGGACATATGAATCTGAAGTTCCTTAAATTTATATGGGTCCTTCTAGAACAACTTAGAAATGTCTAATAGTTTTTGAAAGTATGTTGACTGGATTATTCTCCGTTCACAAAACTAATATGTTCTAATATATGTCATTTGAGATTTATTACCTCATTTTTGGAAATGAATGAGAAATTTCATGATTATTAAATAAATAACAAGTATATATGTATGTTGTTTTCTTGATCATATATAAGTAATATAACTTATGAAAAAGTTCATAAGTATTTCAGCAAAGAATAGTGTTATGAGTTCAAGAAATTAATTAAACATGCTATTTTGAGCAAATTACTTAAAGAATGTATTATGCCCATAGTTTACAAAATTTTCAACATAAAGATTAATATAATTAGGCAAGTGGAACAAGTAAGAGTTTTATAAGAATATTTTTCTTTGCTTGATACATGACATTACCAAAAGAATTTATGATTTAAGTGCAAGGGACTTCAAGGTTGTTGGATGACTTAGTTTATTTCATATCCCCACATGTAAGGATTAGGGGGAGATATTATTTATTTCGTTATTATATGTAATCCTTGCACATGAATTGTATGATATATTGATGGTCAGTAGTGCATACATTAGCATTAATATCAATGTCAATAATTTATTAAATAAAAGCGACCACATAATATTACATATTTACAAATGACACCATCCTGAAGATGGATGTAAATAAATGAATGTCATTGATCATTACTAGTTGTAAATGCTCCAATTAAAATTATAGTCCCAGAAGGACATCGGTTACTAATGAAACCTAAAGCACGGCTGAAAGCGTTGTAGTCCAATAGATTAAAAAAATAATAAATAATAATAATAATAATAATAATCATAATAATAATAAAAATAACAATAATAATAATAATAATAATAACGTTCGAAAAAAGGAATGGAGCAACTATTGACAATGACAAATTTGAGGAAATGATAAATCCCATTACATTTCTAGAATAAAATCATTTTTAGGAAAATCAATATGTCTCATGATTATATAAAAGTCTCCAAAAGAGTATGAAATATCCAACAAGATTAATTAACATGTATCAAGATTATAGTCAAATCTCTAGCAGAGTATATATAACTAATTATTGGATAAAATATTAGTTGATTTTCTTGCCAATTGTATAAAGAAACACATGTTGGTGTTCTAATATCACATCACATTCATGACCATGCATGAAATAAGTTTAATAAAGTGATCACTAGTGTGGAAAACTGAACAAAGTTCAAATCTAGAGAAGTGATTGGATATAATTAAATTAGGCCATCCGAGTTTAATAAATTCCCGTTATTTGATATGAAAGAAATAATGTGATGACGCTCTCTCATGTTAAATATACGAAATAAATTGAATGGCAAGACATAACATTGAGATTGAGCTATATTTAGACTATGATTTTTCATATATTGTGTAAAAAGAAAAGCTCAAGAGATAATATATTGGTTTTTCTGAATAATTGGTGACCAGAAGATCACTAGAATAATTATATGTTGACAAATATTAGGTAACTAGAAGCTCACCACGTACAAGTTATACATGAAAATTTTAAGTAACTAGTATTACTATCAATGTTTTCTAGTGATCCCGAAGATCACCACCTAGTGAAATTATAAGAAAGTTTATATTTGTATAACAATTCTCTTAATTGGGTCTATTGTATGTCAGCACATAAGGAATAGAATAAGAAATTAGCAAATGCTCAATTTATTACCCCTATTAATCTTGATCTCTAGAAGAGACAAAATTTCATTATTCTCCATAAGAGATAGAACTTTGTTGAATATATATGATTATCCTACGAGATGAAATTTGATGCACATGAAATTATATTCTAAGTTTGTGAAGAATTGTCCCAACATTTGAGATATTTTACCAACTTAGGGGGAAGAATTGAAGTAAGTTGACAAAATTATAATACTATAAATAGTTGATCCCTCTAATGATACTTTGTAAAGTTACATGCCAACTTTTGTATCAAAATATGTTGCACATCTATGATTTGATTTATATACCGTTATGAACCATCTAGAGGAATAGAGAGATATATTTTGATTATGGTGATAATGATATTATGTGCATACATTAAGATAGATCTTGCCAATTTACTTGAAATCACTGCACCTGAAGTGTAGTTTGTATGATCGGTTCCAATAGAAATATGTGATATACGCCAAGATAGTGCAGTTGATACTTTTAAAGTATAATAATAGTATGTTAATACCATAGTGTGAGAAATACCCTTAATATGTGGTATAGATATCTGGATTATTATAATAAATTGCCTATTATGTAAGAAAAGTTATGATGGTACCAATGAGAAATGCATTCTGATATCATAGTAAAATAGCATGCGAAATATACGTTATAGGAATTTTATGATACCGGTACACAATGGAACCGATAAATAATATGCATATGCATGATATAATGGACTAGTGAATAAGGGATCTGAAATATATTGAAATTATTGAAAACGTCAATTTAATAACATGTTATTAATCATGTAAGAAGAGTTCCTGAAGAACTTATATACGATGTATTTAAAAAACCAGCCCTACACATTTTTTAATATTACAATTATCAAACTCTTGAAAATTTTATGTGACTACATCACTGACATCTCAACCTGAAGTTTGAGTATATAAGAGTTAGTGAGATTTACTATTTGCATTCGTAGAAAAATTATCTTGTAGTTAATTATGAAACGTCTAAAGAATATCAATGGATCACTTATGCATGACAATGTTTTCTTATGGTCTAGAAGAACCATGATTAGCGTATATAATTACATGTGTTATATTATAATTCATATGAGAAGAATGATATTAATAATATCAAGTTTTTTCATCAAATTATTACTCGTATTAATGAATGTTTGATCAAATAATGATCATCAATATTAATTATAAACGACTTC